TATGCTGAAAACTATAAAATACTGATGAGATATATTGAAAACAACAAATAAATGGAAAGATATCCCATGTTTATGGAATAGAAAAACTAACATTGTTAAAATATCCATACTACCCAAAATGGTCTACAGATTCAATGTAATCCCTATCAAAATTTCAATGTCACAAAAAAGGGGAAAAAATTCTAAAATCTGTATGGAGCCACAAAAGACCCTAAACAGTGAAAGAATCTTAAACAAAAAAGAATAAATTGGAGGCATCAAACTACTGATTCTAAAACATACAACAAATGGAAATCAACAATGAGTGGGGAATGGGTAAGCAGGAGGCCTCGGTGGATTCCCTAAAGCATCTACTGCTGGAAAAGCCTATGGCCCTCACAGACCCTGAATCTTGTCTGGTAGCTTCTGGATTACCTATATTACTGTACTGCCCCAGAGGACAAGTCCAAACCATGTTGTGCTCTCACCCATTCAAGATCCTGCTGCACAGTTCCATCTTGGGACTCTGTCTACCTGGATTATAGCTACATATTTCACACCACATGTTAAGCCACAAAACAAGCCTCACAAATTGTTTAAAATCCAAATCACATCACACATGTTCTCTAACCACAATGGAATAAAGCTAGACGTCAACAAGAGGTATTCTAGAAATTATATAAATATTTGGAAATTAAACACTATGCTCTTAAACAACCAATGGGTCAATGAAGAATCAAAAGAAAAATTTAAAATTTTTCTTGAAATGAATAACAATGAAAACATAACATAGCAAATCCATGGGATACAGCAAAAGCAATACTAAGAGAGAAATTATAGCAATCAACACCTTCATTAAAAAAGAAAGATTCCAAATAATTCCTACCTAATAATGCAACTCAAGGAACTAGAAGAACAAACCAAACCCAAAATTAGTCAAAGTCAGGAAATATCAAACATCAGAGCAAAAAATAGAGACTTTTAAAAAATGTAAAAGACCAATGAAATAGTGCTGATATTTTGTAAAGATGAAAAAAATAGGCAAACCTTCAGCCAGACTAACCAAGAAAAAAGGCTCAAATAAATAAAATCAGATTGGTATTACAACCTATACCACAGAAAATACAAAAGATCATTAGAGACTATTATTAACAACTTGGAAAAACTAGAAGTGGTGAAATCAACGTCTGAATATATATAACACGCCAAAATTGAACCATGAGGACACAGAAAACCTAATGAACCAATAATGAATAACAAAAATTATATTGATAATTGAAAGTATCCCAACAAAGAAAAGCCCACGACTAGAGGGCTTCACTGCTGAATTTTATCCAACTTTTGAGGAGGACTACCACTAATTCTTCTCAAACTACTCCAAAAACTTCAGAGTAAGAATTCTTCCAATCATTCTATGAGATAAGAATTTCTGATACCAAAACCAAACATGGACAAAACAAAAATAGAAAACTACAGACCAATTCCCTGACAAACATAAATGCAAAAATTCTCAACAAAACACCAGCAAACTGAATCCAATAGCACATTAAAAAGATTACACCACAAGATCAAGTAGGATTTATCCCAGAGATGCAAGATTGAACACAGTAAACATAGTTTCATATCCACAGAATGAGGGGCAAAAATCATTTGAATTTCTCAATAAATATAGAAAAACGTGTAATAAAATCCAACATTGTTCCATGTAAAAATCTTCAACAAATTAGATATAGACCACTCAATAAAGGCTACATATGAAAAATCCATAGCCAACATCAGACTGAATGGGGGAAAGACTGAAATCATTTCTTCAAATATCAGGAACAAGACAAAGATATCTACTTTCACTACTCTTATTCAACATAGTATTGGAACTCTGTCAGAGAAATAAGGAAAGGTTTAAATAAAGGATATCCAAACATAAAAGAATAAGTCAAATTATCTACTTGTAGAAGACATATTAGAAAAACCTACATATAAAAAAAAACCTAAAGACTCAACCAAAAAGCAATGTTAGAAATACTAAATTCAGTAAAATTGCATAATACAAAAATCAAGCCAGGCACATTGGCACACACCTATAACTTCAGCAGCTAGGAGGCTGAGACAGAAGAATCACAGTTCAAAACCAACCTCAGCAATGGGGAAGCACTAAGCACTCAGTGAGACCCTGCCTCTAAATAAAATAGAAAACAGGGCTGGCTGGGGATGTGGCTCAGTGGTCGGGTGCCCCTAAGTTCAATCCCCAGTACTTGCCCCCCCCAAAAAAAAACCAACAGCATTTTATATATCATAACAAAATTTCTGAGAAAAAAAATGAAAAAAGCAATCCCAATCAGAATAGCTACCCAAAAAAAAGTACCTAGGAATGAATTTATCCAAGGAAGTAACTAATCTCTTCAATGAACATTACAAAACATTATTGAAAGAAATTGAACAGGACACAAAAAACTGGAAAAACATCCTAGATTCATGGATGGGAGGAATTAAAATTGTTGAAATGCCTATGACTAACAAAAGTGATTTATAGATTTGGTGCAATTCCCATCAAAATATCAAGGACATTATTTACAGAATTAGAAAAAGCACTCCTAAGAGTTGTATGGAACCACAAAAATTTTCAAACATCCAAAGCTATCCTCAGCAAAATAAACAAAGCTAGAGTCATCACACACAATGCATGACTTCAAAACATACTATAAATATGTAAAGTAACCAAAAAAGCATGGTACTGGCATAAAAACGGACATAACCCAATGAAACAGAAAGTAGAACCCAGAATAAATTCACATATCTAGATTTTCAACAAAGGAATCAACACTGGAGAAAAGAGTCTCTTTAATGTATAGTGCTGGAATATGCAAGTATCTATCTGTCACTATACACAAACATCTACTCAAAATAGATCAAAAGACTGAAATGTGAGGCTCATAGCTATGAAATTTATGGAAAAAAGCATAACAGAAAAGCTTCCTGACAATAATTTTGGGGGGTATGACCCCAAAAGCACAGATAACAAAAGTTGACAAATAGGATTGAATAAAACTAAAAAGCTCGTGCAAAGAAAACAGAGCAAAAAACTGACCTACAGAGCATGACAAAATATCTACAAACCATACTTCTGATAAGGGTTAATATCCAAAATAGACAAGAAACTCAAAAACTCAACACTAAGAAAGCAAATAACCAAATTAAAAGATGGGCAAAGGAGGGTTGGTGCTATAGCTCAGTGGCAGAGCACTTGCCTAGCATGTGTGAGGCATTGGGCTCAATCTTTAGCACCACATAAAAATAAACAAATAAAGGCATTCTGTCCATCTACAAACTACAAAAAAAAAATTAAAAGATGGCAAAGGACCTGAATAGATGGTGCCAAAAGGAAGACACTCAAGTAGCCAACAGGTATATGAAAAATGCTCAATATCATTAATAATCAGGGAAATGCAAATTAAAACCATAATGACATCTCACTCCACACCTGTTAGAATGGCTATCATCAAAAAGATAAAAAAAATAATGGCAAGGATGTGGAGAAAACAAATTTGTACACCACTGGTAGGAATGTAATAGAGCACAGCCTTTATGAAAAACAGTACAAAGTTCTTCAAAACATTAAAAATAAAATGACCATATCATCCAGCAATCCCACTTCTGGGTATATATCTGTTATGGGTTGGATGTGAGATGTCCCCAAAAGCTCACATGTGAGACAATGCAAGAAGGTCTGGAAGAGAAGTGATTGGGTTATGAAAGTCTTAACCTAATTGGGGAATTAATCTCCTGATGGGATTAGCTGAATGGTAACTGAAGGCAGGTAGAGTGCAGCTGGGAGAGGTGGGTCTCTGGGGCCATGCTTTTGGGATATGATATATATTTTATATCTGGCAAGTAAAGTCTCTCTCTGCTTCCTCGTCGTCATATGAGCCACTTCCCTCTACTACACTCTTCCACCAAGATATTCAACCTCATTTGAGCCCTGAGGAATGGAGCCAGCTGTCTGTGGACTGACACCTCTGTAACCATGAGCCCTCAATTAACTCCTATAGTTGTTCTGGTCAGGTTTTTTTAGTCACAGCAGTGAAAAACTGACTAGAACAATATCCAAAGGAAATGAAATCCATATGTCAAAGAGATAATCTAAAAATGCCATGTTCGTGTCAGCATCATTCACAAATCCAAGATATAAGATCATCAATGAATGAATACATGCATGGAATACTATTTAACCATAAAATGAAGGAAATCACTATTTCTAACAATGCAGATGAATATGGAAGATATTACTCGGTGAAATAAGCCAGACACAGAAAAATAAACACTGTATATGATCTCACTTACATATAGATCTTTAAAAAAATAAATAAACTCATAGACACAGAAAGTAGAATGGTAGTGACTAGGTACTGGGGGAGGAGATGGAGAAATAGGGAGATCCTGGTTAAATGGTTAAATTTAAATGATTAAATGGCATGTTTCAGTTAAGACAGGATCAATGAATTCTAGAAGTCTATAGTACAGCACGGAGATTGTAACTAATAATATATTGTATAATTTTAAATTGCTAAGAGATTAGATCTTAAATGTTCTCACCACAAAAAAAAAGGTCTGTGTGGTAACTGAAGCTAATTAGCTTGATTTAATGATTTCACAGCCATATATATTCCTATAAAATGTACTATAGATACATATAACTGTTGTCATTTATACCTTAATACAACTGGGGGGACTGACACCTCATCTATTTTCCATCTTCCCTTACATTATATATTTATTGATGGTACTGTCTCCTCCTACAAGAAAGTAAGCTCAATGATGCTTACTGATTTTGTTACCAGTATAGCCCCAGAACATAGAACAATGCCTAGCACTGAGCAGGTATTAATTAAATACTTACTAATGATCATACACAGCCCTTGCTATAGAATTTTTGCCCTCCTTATTACTTTCTTTCCACTCGCTATATATTCAAAGTCTACCAACTCTTGAAAGCTAGCTCAAAAGTAATCTTCATGAAACCTGCCTTTTTTTTTTTTTTTTTTTTAAGTAGCACAAGGAATTGAAGCCAAGCCTGCAAGTGCAAGGCAAGTACTCCACCGGAAGCCATGAAGCCTACCCTTACATCCCAGCTGACAGAGATCTTCACCTGGACTCCCAATCAACTCTATGTGTATTCTTTCCCTCTAAAAGTTGGGGAAATATTCAGTGATTGAGTGCCTCTGAGTTCAATCCCCAGTACCAGAAAAAAAGAAAAAAGTTGGGGAAAAATTTATAGTGGAAAGAGTATAAATCATCATTGGAATCAACCAAATCACTTGCTACATAATCTTGAAATTTTCATCTAACTTCTAAGTAACAGTATTCTCACCTATAAAAATGAATGAAATTAGGTATTTACCCAGAGAAATAAAAACATATTTTTCACACAAAGACCTATATATAAATATTCACAGCAGTTTCATTCAAAATAGTACAAAACAAAGCTGCATGTGGTGGTACACACCTAAAATCCTGGCTATTTGAAGGCCAAGGAAGGAGGATTGCAAGTTCAAGGCCACCTAGGAAATTTAACAAAAGCCTGTATCAAAATTAACAACAAAAACAAAAATAAAAAAATAGAGAAATGGGGACAGAGCTCAGTGGCAGAGTGTTTGCCTAGCCTGCATGAGGCCATGGGTTCAATTTCCAGTACCATAAAAAAGGAAAAAAAAAAACTAGAAACTCAAAATATCCATCAACAGAAAAATACATTTTCAAATTGTAGTATATCCATATAATGCTATTCACCAATAGAAATCAACTGTTGATACACACAACAAAACAAATACCACAGATATCATGCTTGGAAAAAGAAACTACACACTCACCAATAAGTCAATGGTCAAAAAGACAAAACGAGTGCTGGAGAGAATGTAGAAAAACTAGAATCCTCTTCACACACTGCTGTGAGAATATAAAATGCTACAGTTGACTTAATAAACCTTCTGACAGTTCCTCACAAAGTTATGCACAAAGCTACAATGAAATCCAACAATTTCACTCCTAAGTGTACACTCATGAGAAATGAAAACGTAAGTCCAGACAATTACTTGTATGAGATAACCACGAGAATGGGAAGTTATATTCCATGTGTCTATGTCAAAATAGATTCTACTATCATGTATAACTAAAGAGAAAAAAAAAACACTTGGACAAGAATGTTCATGCCAGCATTGTTCATAATACCCAAAAACAGAAACAATCAGGTATCCATCAACTGATGAATGGACAAATAAAATGTGGTATACCCTCACAATGGAATACTATTCAGTGATAAAAAGGAATGAACTCCTGATATGTACTACCGTATGGATGAACCTTGAAAACAATATGCCAAACACAAAAGGCCAGACATAAAAGACCACATATTATGAGATTCCATTAAGTGGTATGTCCTAAATAGAAAATATAGAGTCAAAAAACAGATTAGGGCTGGGTCAGAAAATAAGATGGGGGAGGATAGGGACCAGAAAGGGGGAAGAAATGCTAATAGTTATGGGATTTCACATTGGAGTGTTGAAAATATTCTAAGATTTACTGTGGGGAGGGGCTGGGGAATGTGGCTCAAGCGGTAGCGCGCTCGCCTGGCATGCGTGCGGCCTGGGTTGGATCCTCAGCACCACATACCAACAAAGATGTTGTGTCCGCCAAGAACTAAAAAATAAATATTAAAAATTCTCTCTCTCTCTCTCCTCTCTCACTC